TTTTTTTTTAAAGGTCAAAGGATTTAAACAGACATTTCTCTAGAGCAGACACACACCTGATAAGCACATGAAAAGATGCTCAATGTCATGAGCTTTGAAGGTGCTACAGATCAAGACCACAATGAGACCCCACATTAAGGTGGCCGTGCTTAGAAAAATGAATGATAGGGAGTGTGTGCAAAGATGCTGAGAAATTATAAGGCTGGTGGGGTTGGTAACTCAGGCAGCCACTGTGGAAAACAGTTGGCGACACCACAAAAACTTAATCACAGAGTTCCCATGTGACCTGGCAATGCCATCAGAGCAGCACTATTCACAACAGCCAAAAGGTAGAAACAGCCCCAGGTGTCTATGAGCTAATGATAAGGGGATATTTAAAATGCGACGCAGCCGCGCAACGGAATATTATACAGTCCATAAAAAAGAAGGTGGTTCTGAAGGGCGCTACATGGATGTATCTCAAAAAGCATACAGCTGAGTGGAAGGAGGCTGTCACGAAAGCTCACAGATCATATGATTCCACTTACATGAAATGTCTAGAACAGCGGTTCTCAACCTGTGGGTCGCGACCCTTTGGGGGGTCAAAGGACCCTTTCACAGGGGTCTCCCAATTCATAACAGTAACAAACAGTACAGTTGTGAAGTAGCAATGAAAATAATTTTATGGTTGGGAGGTCACTAAAACATGAGAAACTGTATTAAAGGGTGGCGGCCTTAGGAAGGTTGAGAACCACTGGCCCAGCACAAACAACCAATGGAGACAGAAGCCAGTAGTTGGTTTTCAGGGCTGGGGAGCGAGGGGAAAGGGAAGGACTGTAAAGGAGGCAGGCTCCTTCTGAGCTGATGAGAAGGTTCTGGAATGAGATCGTGGTTGGTTGCTCAGTCTTGTGACTATACTGAAACCACTGAAGTGTACACTTCAAAAGGGTGAGCTTTATAGTGTGGAAACAGCATTGCAATGACCAAAAGAGACGAGACTCAAAGGCCTGCCTGGTACCAAACCCACAGGATGCACAGCAGGCAGCCCACCCAGCCTTGGTCTACCATGATGGCCTCCCAGTGCCCTTCCTGCCACACAGGGCTGGCAGCCTCCAGTTCTGAGCCATGACAGAGGCCCTTCGGGTTCAGTCCTGCCTCCTTATTGGCACTGGTAGCAAGGCTGCATGAAACCAGACCAGAGGGACCAGGCCACAGAGCACCAGGAACCCGAGGCAGAGCCCCAAGCAGTCTACAGAAGCGCCTTGGTCAAGGCAGGGTGTGCATGACTAGCAGAAGGAGAGCCTCTGAGTTTAGGACACTTTCCTCCTCTTTCAAAGGAAAAGGCAGGCTAGAGGCCTCCAGTCATTGCTTTGTGCAGACAGCCCGGCCAGCTTCCTCCTGCCGGCCTCCCGGAGGACCTCGCCAGAGCTGGCAGGCTCTGCGGACTCTCTAAGAAAAGGGCAGCAAGGTCCTAGGGAGGCCTCTGTCACAGACGGCGCTCCTCTCATCTCTGGGCTTCCAGCCCCACTGTGGAGTGGAGGGTCAGAGAGAGGCCAACTGCCCCCAAACAGATCCCAACCATTCTCTCTACGTTCACCCCCAGCTCTAACTCCACATCTGTGGGGAATGTGCGGGCAGCATGCCCAAGGGTCTGAACTTTTCTGGCCCAGACGGGACAACTCCCCACGCATGCCCCACATTTCATGCACACAGCCTTCCAGGCCCATTATCTCACCAACCTGAAACACCAGCCCTGGTGCCATGTGGCTAGAAGCCCCTGGTCACAGGGGGGCAAACCAAAATGGTCAGCCTACCCAAGTTCACTGTTCACAGCCTCCAATAGGGATGCAGCGGATCTGAGTCCAAGTCTGTATCCCAAACTTGCCATGTGACCTTGGGCCAGCCCTTCTGCTCAGGCCTCTGACGGGCACCTCTGCCAAAAAAGGACAACAGGACAAACCAGCGAAGGCCCCTGCAGTACAGGTATCTTAGCAGCCTTCAAAAGAACCAGAGGGAAATACCACCTGCTAAGCAAGCCAAGACACATGCAAGCCAGGGAGACGCTGGGGCCCGTACAAGAATAAGGAGATGGGAATCCCCTCGCCCCCGGCAGGCAAGCCTGAAAGGGTCTGGCCTGGTGACTAGAGGCTGCAGAGAAGGGCAGGAGGAGCCCGGCAGCCTCGGGTAGGATTGCAGGCTGAGGGGAGGGGGTGGGGAGGAATCACTTGGCCACGTGATGCCTCCCCCAGGCCAGCCTCGCTAGGTTTCTGGGCTGTAACTGGAGCTGCGCTCTTGCCTGGGAGCCTCCGTGCCAGGCAGAGCTTTCTGAGGGGGGAAGGGAATGAAGAGGCCTGGATGGAGCCCCTTCCTCCTACTCTCTCTACACTCCTGAGCTCCAGGACAAATCCTGCAGTGCCTCAATGTCACAGAAGACCGGAAAGACAGGGCCTTTACCCCCTGGCCCTAAGGTCTTAGCCCCATCTTCGCTCCCCTCCTTCTACTTCCATAACAGGCCCTTTGCTGAAACAGGAGACAGAGTCCCAGACTGCCCAGAAGGTCACAGTCATAGAGTGCCTTGTCCCCCTCCCCTCCACCAGTGTCCAGTGGACTCTGCATGGTCAGGTAGACCCTGGCCTGAGGGTCCCGCTAGCCCTCTTTTGACCCCAGTTGGCACTTTTCTTCCTCTCCAGGACTGCTCCCACCTCCTGGTTTGTGGGGGTCCCACTTTCTGTCCCCCAAGGCAGCATGGTTCTCTGGTTCACACTCACCCAATATAATTACAAAGAGAGCCACGCTAGTGGGCAGGGCTCAGAGGAATGCCCTCCAACCCCTGAGTGAGTTCTGGGGGGGGCCAAGCAGAGGTCAGAGAACTGCCCAGAAGTGCCACCAACACTCTGAAGCTCCTCCGAGCTGCAGCACGGGGTAAGTTTCCTGCAGTGAAGCTAAATGCTTAAGTATATGTCTAAAACAGCAGAACACAACGCCTATGATGGGGTCGCACAGGAAGAGCTGGGAGAAAGAGGAGCACTGTATGTGCGGCTAGCAGTTCTGAGCCAGAGGGTCACGGACCCTCCAAAGGTTCCCCAGCACCTACTTGAGGGAGACACTGGGCAGCAGCAAGGCGAACGCATGCAGAGAAGGTGGTGGTGCAAACACCCGGGTGCAGACAGGCTAGGCTGTGTGCAAAGCTGAGGAGCAGCTGCCTGTGCTGAGAGCACGAAGGCACAACTGGGGCACAGGGCTGCTCAGTGACTCACCATGGACCTGTAGCCAGAGAGCCCATCCTCCGACCCTCCCTCCTGTCCCTGGAGGTATAGCTGGGGGAGCCCTAGAGCGACTCTGGGGGCTTGGCTGCCCTCCTCCCAGCTTGATACACAGTGGGCCTGGGTCCAGGCAAGAGAGTTTGGGGGTAGCGCTCCAGGGGACAAGGAGACATGGTGCTGACCCTGGAAGACAACCCAAGAGAAAGGAACAGAAGGAGAAGAAAGGGGGAGAAAGAAAAACACAAAAGGAAAGTTTCCCATGAAAACATTTTATTTTCTTTGAGAACAGGATACACCTGCAGGGCTCCTCAGCCCAGTTGCCTCTCCCCGCCCAGGCCGGCGCCACATTCCTGGGCCAACGGAGCCCTCTGCCGGCCAGGCCGCTGAGCGCGGGTGTCCCGGGCCAGGGCCAAGGAACAGGTGACAGGCGGAGGGCGGTGGCCAAGGAGCGCCCGCGGGACGCCCGGAATAAGGTCTGGGACGAGCGGGAGGCTTGGGCCCTAGGGGTGGCACTCAGAGGCGGCGCCCGCGGCGGGAGGTAGGGAAGGGAAGGGGCAACCTGCCTCGGTGCCACCCTGGACCTCGGTGCGCAAAGCGCAGCGTGGATCCCTCTAAGTCGTTAGGTGCGGACATCCCGGATCTGGGAGAGAGGGAAGGGTGGAGGGAGACAAGGAAGGAAAGGCGGAGAGAGACGCGCCAAAACCACAGTCAGCCGCAAACTGCTGTTGCAGAAGAAATGGGACCGCGGAAAGCGGCCCCGGGAGACAGCGGTGAGGCGGCGGCGTGGCCTCGGCCTCAGCCTGGCGCCGGGCACTTGGGACTTTGCTGCCTGACGCGCGGTCGGGTCGGACATACGCGCTCTCACGGGCCGGGGGCGGCGTCAGAAGCAAAGCACAAGAAAAATAAATTCCTCCAGCTTGGAGCTTTTTTTTTTTCCTCCCCCTTTGGGGCTCGGTGCAAGAAACATCTGGATTTTGTACGTATTTTTCTGTTGTTGTTAAATTAACTTCTGGAGGAGGAAAAGGAGGGGGGAGCTGCAAGAGGAGTGGGCGAGGGCCCAGGAGCTTGAGCCGTTTGGCAAGAGTAGGCGGCCTACAGGACGGGGACCCGACCTAGCCCCGGAGCGACAGGCAGTCCCGCGCACGGCGACGACCGCTCCAGGGTCACTAAGAACCGCGGCCCCGTGAAAGCCAACGGGGGACGCAGACACCCCACCCCCGCCTAACCGCGGGAACACCAACCCACCGACCGACCGACGCACGCACCCCAAACAAACAGCTCCAAGCAACCCTGGCGGCCCCAGCCCAGCCCGGCCCCGGCCCCGGGCACCTGGCCTGACCGCTGGCCCCAGGAGCTCGGGAGCCACCGACACGGTCAACTCGCCGGGGCCCCGGCCCCGCGGCGCGCCCGCCCTCTGCCCGGGCCGGAGAGCGGCACCTACCCGAAGTAGGCGGCCGAGGGGTGCAGCGCAGCGAGAAGCAGCGTCAACGCGAAGGACGCGGTGAGCCAGCGCGCCAAGAGGGGCCCATCCAGCATCTTGCTGCGCCGCGGCGGCTGACCATCTCGCTCCCCACGGCTCCGCGCAGGGCGCGACGCCGGCCGCCGCCCTCTTATAGCGCCCGGAGCGTTGGGGGCAGCCG